GACGGGAACGGCACCACCCTGACGGGAACGCCCCCACCCTGACGGGAACGGCACCACCCTGACGGGAACGCCACCACCCTGACGGGAACGGCACCACCCTGACGGGAACGGCACCACCCTGACGGGAACGGCACCACAGAAACGCACCCACCCTAATAGGAACAGTGCCGCCATGACAGGAACACCCCAACAGGCACGCCCCCACCCTGACAGGAACGGCCCCACCCTGACGGGAACGCTGCAACCATGATGGGAACATAAAGTAATATTTATGAAAAATTACCCAGTTATTTTCATATCTATGATGTACTGTACATACATCAAGGTCTACCTGTGACTGGTTATGTAACTGTCATCTAAGAGAAATGAAAGCGGGGGGGTGGCTTTAACACTGTAAGAACTGACATAGGAGAAAAACAAACTCTTTTCTGAGAGATGTGCGTCTCTGAAATTTGGGCCAATATTTTAGCTCTTTACCTGACAGAATAGTTTTATTGTAAAGGGTGCCGTTAAATTATCTAGACAGCTCCTCAATTCTAAATGTAAACAGAGACGCATAAACTTCCTCACGGCTGCAACATTCAATGTTTTATGAGGCCAGTATTCAAATTCCTGAAGAATGAAATCACAGCTCACTGCTGATGTGCAGATGGCTTCTTTACTAGACCCCGACCTCATCATCATCATCATCATCACCATCATCGTCATGCCAGGTGAGCTGCATTTCTACAGTTTAATAATCACCACAGTATTTACAGGGCCACAGCATCCACCATAAATCACTCCACCGTACTCTGTGACATCACTCCACCGTACTCTGTGACATCACTTTGCTAACCACAGGATTTGAACTGCTGACCTTCTGATCACTAGCACAGATTTCGACCAGGCTGATTCACACGTCCCCCATAGGCAAACTGAAAATTAAAACTTGAACAACATGGATTTGTGAACATAAAATAAAGAACCAAATTGTCAGGGTTAACATATAGCTTAGCTATGAAAACAAATGCTATATCCAGTTCTCTTATCCAAACTTGTCAGCTTTCTATAAGACCCCACAAATGGCCCTTTCTGCTCCCCAAGTGGATGCAGGATGCCTTTTCCCAGCTTCATGCAGATCTCCGCATGGCCTGGGCACTGGAGGGATCCTGGGCTCCGCTCCCTCTCTGAAGCAGCGTGTTCTGCTAACCAGCTAGCGATGGGCATTGGAGACGGGGGCCCCAAAGTAACCTTTGAGTGGGTCAAACAGCAAACTGGCACCACTCAGAGTGGCAAATGCAGCTTCATGTTGTCACCTGAGATCTCACTTTCCACGTTACTTTGAGCCAACTGCTGTTTATCTTCATGCGTCACGTGACCCAGGGGTAACAGCAGCGAGCACTTGCAGCCACTTCAGGAAGATAAGGGGGCCGATAAGGTCATGTGACGCCAGTCCCGTCTGATGGTAGCATACCGGGTGGAGCACTCAGGCAGGACTAAAGACAAATTAATCATTGCTGCCCGTGGAGACGTTTGGCTGTTTGGACACGATTATAGATAAACATGCCTAAAGACTCAGGGGAAACAAGGACCACCTTGTTTCTGATAATCTAGTGCTCTCATTTTCTGGTTTTGATGCATAGCTTAGTTGTGATTGTGTTGTGGTGCAGACAGACCCGGGTTCAAGCCTTGGCTCAGCCAAATAGATTATTTTGTGGTGCGGCTCAGAGGCTTAGGCCAGTGTGTCTGTGCCTGAGACCCAATGGAGGATGAGTGACGTTACCATCGGGCCCCTTAGCGAGACCCTTCATCCCCAATCGCTCCAGGGACTGACGCTGCTCTCTCACAGATGCATGTTGACGCTGCTCTCTCACAGATGCATGTTGACCCTGCTCTCTCACAGAAGCATGTTGACCCTGCTCTCTCACAGATGCATGTTGACCCTGCTCTCTCACAGATGCATGTTGACCCTGCTCTCTCACAGCGTGGATGCAGCACATCTAACCAGCGTCACCGCTGCTCAGTAAGACCCATCTGCCCTTTCTTCTGGAGACAGCATGAGCCAGCAGATGCCCCCAAGGACACAGGGCCTCACCTTTGTAGCTGAGCTTGATCCGTGGCACGCCGTCCTTCCCGCTCGCCATGGCAGGCAGGAGCACCAGCACCAGCGTGGCCAGGAGCCCCAAAAGCTGCTGCTTGCCGCCTCTCCGTCGCAGTTCCTGCTCCACAGCCATGGCCAGGCGACCCTGCACAGGAAGAATGGCAGGCTTGGGGTTACCCCGGGGCAGCTGTACCCTCAGAGCGCAGGGACAGCGCCACCAACAGGTGAGGAGGCCTGGCACTAAATACTCAGCGGCATGTAATGGTGTCTCCATGAAGGTTAGGTCACCCTGATCCGCACACGACGCCATCAGCTGTTCCCTTTGTCTCCTCCATGGAAGCGCCCGTTTCTAATTCTGCTCCCACAAATGAAGGTCATGCAGACAGAAATAGCTCTCATTCCTGTGCAGGCACCCAGACAGCCCTGTGTGAAGAGGACTAGGTCCAGAACGTGAGTGAAAACAGCTGCTGAACCCGTCTGTGTCAACTGGGAAAGACTTAGGGGGCATTGGGTCAGTCCACAGCAAACTGTCCACTCCTCCACTCATTCCACACTGAATCCTGGATGTAAAATTAAACACACGATTTAAAACAAGTTCTTCAGCACTTGTACAAAACACAAAGCCGCAGCTTAACTAAGATGACAAGCCTTAAAGCGGCATGCAGATGAGCACCTCTACAGATCAGCTCGGATTGGTGTAGCATCAGCATTAGGATGTACCCCGACATGGTGGTGTAGCATCAGCATTGGGATGTACCCTGACAGGGCAGTGTAGCATCAGCACTGGGATGTACCTCAAAATGGCGGTGTAGCATCAGCATTGGGATGTACCCCGACAGAGCGGTGTAGCATCAGCATTGGGATGTACCTCAAAATGGCGGTGTAGCATCAGCATTGGGATGTACCCCGACAGGGCGGTGTAGCATCAGCATTGGGATGTACCCCGACAGGGCGGTGTAGCATCAGCATTGGGATGTACCCCAACATGGCCGTGGAGTGCGTACCGCCCCCGTTTCCTGTTTACACCCACAGCTGATGGAGTTACATCAGGGACACGCTGTGGAACAAGCTGTAGGAGAAACAGCCAATTTCCGTGCCAGAGCAGCTCCCTGCGCTTACAGGCCCCCAAAGACAGGTAGATGGTGCAGGTCGGTCCCAGAGCCGTTACCCCACACTTCACGGCTGAAGCTATTCAGGGAGTTCCATGTCACCGGTGTATTTAGGGAGCCCCAGTGTGCATCGACTTAACCTCCAAAGCAGAATGTCCAGCAGAAAATGGACAGGGACGCCACAGAAGCAGCGAGGACCAGCAGCAAAGCATGGCAACAGCCCCTGTGCGCAGTGCATTATGGGTAGGAAACGCATGGCTTTCTGATAGCTACAAGCAGCTAGTGCTTTGAGATAAAAGCCCCTTTGTGTATATCAGCAATAGTCAATCCGCCACAGTGCTTAATTTGGCCTTGATAAGGACCTGAGGTGAATGTGAACAGACATTTCAAATGTACCTATGCCTATCAGTCTACATACAGCAGCATATAAAACCTGCTGCTCTTAGAGAACATCAAACAAGTATTTATCTAACCAATGGGGGTGAAATAAGACTTGGGGGCATTTGAGAAACGCTTATATTTAAGTGCCACGTTTCTGCTATCACTGCTGGAACCAGGAGTTTTTAAAAGCTGACCTGGGTACAGATTGTATATGAACCCCATCACAGCCGCTAATGTTAATGTGACCTTGTGAGTGAGTAACAGTCGCTCCACACAAGGATGCCAAACGTAACTCGAGCTCTCTGAATCATCTTAAATGCCTCATGGTATCTGACCACTAGTACTAAAGGAACTCCTCAACGCAAAAGTCACACTCTTAACATTTTCGGCATAGCGTTACAGTACAATATGTTTTGGAACAAAGAACGTCAGAAACTGTAGAAGTGGAAGGACAGAAGGGAAAACTGTAAAGCGCCAGCTTATATAGATAGATAATTTTGAAATCGTGTAGTATATTTCAGATTTACACACTAATTTAGACATTAATAATCACAAATAAACAAATAAACAACAGTAAATAGTAACAGTGCAAAGAAGATCAGAGGAAGTGCTTTATGGAATTACAGCTCAGAAATAAACAGTATGGCACAGTGGGCTGTACAGTAATTAACAGCATTGCATGGTGGGCTATATAGTAATTAACAGTATTGTACAGTGGGCTATACAGTAATTAACAGTATTGTACAGTGGGCTATACAGTAATTAACAGTATTGCATGGTGGGCTATACAGTAATTAACAGTATTGCACAGTGGGATGTACAGTAATGAAAAGTACTGCATGGTGGGGTATACAGTAGTTAACAGAATTGCATGGTGGGCTATGCAGTAATTAACAATATTGCATAGTGGGCTATACAGTTATTAACAGTAGGCCTACTGCACGGTGATCGAATGAATGTGCCTAAGTGGTTCAGGTCCATTCAGACAGCTGCCCCCCCCACCCCCCACTTGCTATACAGTCAATCAAAGAATGAAGACTTATGAAGACATAAAGTACTGCTATACGTGCCGTGTATAAATCGTAGCATAGGGTGGCACGGACTGAGGTTCTGAGGTTATCGCACCAGCTGTTCTTGACAGCTGCCAAATGTCTTGGATTTCTCGCATGCACTCATGAGCAAATAGTGTGCGGCGCCGTTTTTACAGATTACACGCGGCGTGTAAATGCTTCTGCTATCTGCGGCTGCTCCGTTCGAGCGTGGACCTGGAGGAGCACCGTGTAATCGTCTGTCATCTTCACACAGATGAGTTCGTCTGTGCTTAGAAAAGTCAAAGGGTCAACTGGCTCAAAATCCGAATTTTTACTTTCAGTACTTTTCCTTTATTTTACTCGATGCGTTAATGGTTAGGATCCGTTTCAGCTCATGCGCTGTTTTGTGCCCCAAGGCAGGATGGAGCCATAGGACGGGGAGGATTTAAGCAAAACCAAATGACTACGGCCGACGCAAATATGACTAGTGGTTCCATTAACTGAACAGAACTTGGGTGTTAGTAGTTCTAAAAGAAATTCTAAACGGTAAGAAACCACAGTAAAAAAAAGCAGCGTGAAGCCAGCACAACGGCATCAGTATGAGACGCCCTCTAAGCCACATGCACACGAGAGAGTGAAGAACAACAAAGGGCTGCAAACCAACACCACCCCATGCGCCTCGGGAGGCTAGACAAGCCAGAGACAGCCCAGCAGTGGCACCTGGGTGTCAGGACCCCCGGGGTGAAATCCTCATTAAAGTCCACATTCTAGCGGTCAGACTCAAGAGAAAAACATAGAAAAAAGTGTTTTAATACGCGCGTTTTGCATGGTGACGGATAGTGTTTTAGTTATGGACATTTTTGGAAAAGGGAGCTGCATGGACGTTATTAGAGTCATTAAATCGGTATGTTTTATGTGTACAGACAGCGGTTTTCCGCATTTTTAAGGACACGACAGGCAGGCTTTCCCTACCCCAACACGCACGTTTGGCTTCTGAAACCTAAGGGCCGACATCAGCTAATCTTCTGCACTAAGCTAAGATTCGGAAGAACAAAAAGCATCTCAGAAGATCACCTTATTTCAGCGGCTTATAAGTCTTGGAAAGTGTGTGTGTGTGTGTGTGTGGGGGGGGGGGGGGGGGGGGGGGTGGTAAATGTGCAAAAAGTTAATTGGGAGCTTTGATTTATATGGAGAAAAGTCATAAAACTTAAAGGTGTTAAACAGCTCCTTAAATAAATCTAGTTAAAGTATCATTATCCAGACCATTAACCCCAAACAAACATTTTTATCGACAAACTTGTAACTTTCACACCAGCTTCATTAAAAAAAACATAGCAGGGAGAATTTTCTAACGTTTTAACAAGATAGAGAGTAACCTCTGGGTGGGGGGTCCTGTCATTGGGGCTGATGGTAGACTTAACCTTTCTTGAAAAGAGGAATAAGCGTTTCAGTGATACACATGCGCCAGTGAATTAGCTGCACTCTCAGTCAGAGAAACGGTCCAGTGGCTTTTCCAGATACTGACATGTATGAAAGAGGCTTATATTGGAGCATTGCAGACTCAAAAGATGAAGTCAAACAGGGGTTAACTATTTAATGACGTGAATGACGACTTTCTTAGATTACATTTGGATTAAATAAACATAATTAAAATCTATAGGAAACTCAGGTACATAATAATAATAATAATAAATCAGCCGCTGGTATATGTGCCTTTTGAAAACAGATAGCACCGGATTTTTACTGTTTTTACTATTTTAATAGGATACTTGTATTAATCCACAAATGCGCTTCTCCCTAAAACACCCAGTTAAACTTCTCGGGTTAGATAACCGCTAAAATATACACATGTCTGCAAACATAAGCTATTAATCAAACGCTTCATTATAAACATTCACGTCAGACTCTGAGAAAACGCTCCAGTATTGAGTATTTTAACCATTTACCGACACTCCGGAGCGCCGCATATTATACGCTATATTTATTCCCGGCTGTGTCACCGTAAAAATTAACCACCTGCATTCCGGTTATTAACTAAACCAGAGTGAATACATGAAGGAGATAAACACATTTAAATGCAACCTACCACTTATAAACGATGAAACTTGAAGCTGAGAAGCGCTGGAGACCTTCACCTTGAAAGACAGCCTCACTCCGCAGTAACTTTAAAGATGTTCCCGACACCACAGCAGCGAGTTTAAAGGGGCTCCGGACACCCTCGCAGTAACTTTAAAGATGTTCCCGACACCGCAGCAGCGAGATTAGACGGACCCGTTGATATCCCAACTTTCCCCACGTACTGTACTGTAAGTGCGCCTCGGACAGCTGGTCCACCAGTCCCTGGCAGCCTGCAGGGAGGGGTCACTCTGGGGGAGCCAGCGTGTCTACCTGCCCTAAGTTTAAAACGAGCGCACTATACAGGAACGTAGCCAGACCGTGTATAACGGGGTGGTCAGACTAGACCCAATGATTTTACATTTTACTGGGGTGGCAGTCGGGTAATATTTCGCCAACGGGGGGTGGCGGTGATCCCTCCGCAGGCCTACATATGATCATAAGCATTATCCATTAATCATCTCGCGAAGACACGCCACGGCCGTGTTGTTACCGGGCAGGCGTGCCGCTTGTTATACAAATTAAATGTTACTATAAAGCAGTAATGAGGAAAATAAGATATACATTCTCCACCTGAATTCCGCTGCCGGTAAATTAAATCCGAAAGACAAAACATGGAAAAAGTTACAAATATAATTATAACAATTAGCCCAACTACATGTATTTGGACTGCAGGAGAACAAACACACAAAGGAGAACATGCACCTCCCCCCACAAAGCAGGGGAGGGATTCAAACCCATAACCACAGAGGCAAGATACGACCCAATGAGCCATGCACTGAACTGAACTGATGACAGCATCAGCCTTTCTCATGTCCTCTCACAACCCTTTTGATAAAAATATTAAAAACGATGTCTGTGAGACTCAGACATGGGACAGAAGCCTATAACCCACTAGGAAGCCCAATGTTCACGATACGCCAAGCTGGCCAGCTTCCCTTTTTCTGATGATGGCAGACAGCCCATGCTGATGGCTTTCTAGGGTCTCCTAAGCAACAGGGACATTCGTTCATGTCACGTTTACCTAATTATACACCATATAGAACTGGCTTTAGTTAGTCTGCTCTTCAACCCCCAGAACAAATGTCCTCACCCTGATACCCAGGGACATACCGCACAGAGGTCCTTCCCAGAGCCCAGGGTCTGCGGAGCCTCCTTATGTGCAACCCATGCTCTGATACCCAGATGCAGCCCCTCTTCCTAACTGCCAGAGCTTCCACTAGACGTTTCAGGTCTCCTGAAGGCATCATAATGGTCCCCCCGACTGGCCAATCGAGTTATGTTCCATATTGTCTTGAACCCCTGAATAAATCATACTAGGCCCCCCCATGGTTTCCCTATCCCCAGGTCACATGCTTCTCTTTGCCATCCAGGGATTTGGCCATCATCGGTGCTAGAGACAGGGTAGGAAGGTATGGGGAAAACCAGAGGAGACATCACTTCCTGGATGATTTAATTCTGCCTGGGAACTTTGAGAAGAAGCTGCTTTGTGGATATAGTCACATGAATAAGCTGCTCCCTGGATGACATGTGATGGAAGTCCAGAGAAGAACCTGATTTCTGGATGTTCTTATATATAGTATGTTGGAAGTCCAGAGGAAAACCTGATTTCTGGATGTTTTCACATATGCTGGACGCCCACAAGAGAACCTGCACTTTGGATGACCCTCTTGAAGGAGGTTGTATTCTGGACTAGCTCATCTATACTGAAAATGCAGAAGAGATGCTGCATTATGGATGAACACTCCAGAGGAGAGATGGCCACACCTCCATTGTGTGAGACAAGCCATGACTGGACTAAAGAGAATCAGACCACGTTTGATGAATTGGTCACTTTCTTAAATTCACCTCAAGAAGTGTTCATATCACTTTGCCTTTTTTTACCCAGTAATTTTGCAGTTTTTGGTCATACCACTCAGAGTTCGTCTGTCATCAACACTATCACATAAAGAGGTTCAAGTGAACAATCATTCTCAGTCCTTTATTGGGCAACACTTTACTTGAAGCAGTCTACATAAAGGTGGCATGTAACCGTCATAAGAATGACATGACACATGTCATGCACATTAATGACAAATTATTGATGTTTATGACTTGTCATAATGTGTCATTCAGTTCCAAAAACTGAATGACACATTGTGCATGAAATGTGTCATGTCATTCTTATGACGGTTACATGTCACCCTTATGTAGACTGTTTCAAGTAAAGTGTTACCTTTTAAGGTTAAGGAAAATTTAAAATACAGCAACATAATGCCAATGATTATAATGCTGAGACTTGTACAGTATTGTAAATAGTGTAATTGCAAGGAAACCTTATTTGGAAAAGCTGCTGCAGAGCACTGCATAACTTGCCTGCACTCAAAATGCCTTTTATAGCGTGTTGTTTTTCTGCCTTGCGTGTAGCTTAGCATCTGTACGACGGGAGAGACAGATGTTTAATTTATTAGTTATACCATATTTATTGAAGATAAGCTGTTGTTCTGTGATGAAATGCTATCGCCACAGCTCTGATTGCCAAGTAAAACAGCTTAAGTCAGGGACGTGCAGTCAGATCGACTGCGAGTCGTGTTAGGGAATTATAGCTTCATTGCCATGTCATGGGAACATGCTGCATCTGTCTCCCATGACACTGATGTTCTGACTTTCATTTTGTGTTCCTGTTCTTCTTGTCATTGCCACATGGCAGACTTTAGTACCCATAAAGCTACTGTGCATTGAATCCTTGCCGTCCTGTTCTGCCTGTCCTTTCCCTGTTTGGCCAGTAGGTGTCGCTGTCCATCCCGTTCTTTCCTCATTGTTTAGCACCTTTCATTGTTTTCCCTTTCCTTCTAGGCTGCTGCATGGCTGAATGGGCTGAGTGTGTGGCTGAGAACCATGCTTCCCTTCTTTTGTGGGTTTGAGTTGAGCTGAGTTGCGTTGTGGGTTAATAACGTTTAAAGTTTTGAGTTTAGTAAGCCCCCTTGGTAGACCTTCTTGTATTTCTGCATTGGTTCTTGTGTTGTGCCTTTGTTCTTCAGGTCTAGTTTTGTAGTTAAGTCTTATTTCACCTTTGTTCCGAGTATCCCCTAGTGTTTGAATCCTTAGTGCTTTGTGATTGCTAATTACCATCACTTATTCCTTGTCATGGCTATTTCCTAGTGTTTGGTTATTCTGTATGGGCAATAGCTTTCTATCATCTTGACCTCATTACCCATGTATGCAAGTGCTTGCCATTTCCTTGATCTGTCAATCACTGAATGTACATTAGTCTCTAACTTGTTTCCTGAATGTGTAGGTGTTGTCAGTATTATAGATGTATGACATGTTACTTGTATGTTTCTTCTGTGTGTCCCTGCGTTTAGCTTTAGCCCCTGTTAATGCTCAATTGCCTGTCTACCTTTAATTCGCCCCTTTTGAAAACTTCCATTTGTGGTTTTGTTTGTGTTCAGCTTATAATAAAGTCCTCTTGCTGTCCATAAGCCACTCTGTGGATCGTCACTCCCTCTCCATGCCTCATCGTGGCAGCATTGATGTGATGCTGAGTACCCGAATCCTTGTGACAGTCCTTAATGATAAAGTCAAGCAGGCTTCATTGTCATACCATCCATATACAGGTAAACAGCAGCATGGAATAACATTCCCCTTGGACCAGGGTGCGACACACAGACAGTGAGTAACAGGAGAAGCAAAAACACAGGACAGTGTTACACACCTGAGAAAGTACACACATCAATAAATTCATTGTCCAGAGACCCACAATTTTTACTGTATGGGCCACGCAGTATTTACTGTACGGGCCAGACAGACAGCCACGTGCAATTGCTATCCCTGCAGCCATTTCATCGCGCTCTGTGAAGCCAGTGTGCTCTTGGGAGTAATTGTATGGTGTTTTTTTCTATCTTCCTGGAGAGATTGAAATATTTTATGGTTTAACTGCAGTCCTGATAACAACGAACGATTGCCATCTAGTCCAAACTTGTCGGAGACCTGTAAAATAACCCAAGGAAAGACGTGCAGTTTAATCCATGAGAAATTCAAGCTGATGCTTGTGTTCCTGTTGCACAAAGAATAGTGTGTTTCATCTAAGCTTGACCCACAGCACACTAATTGGTCCAGATCCAGATCAGCCTGGAGCACATTCTTCTGGGATAGTAACCTGTTTTCCTCTGGTAACAAGTCCTCAGCCCACGTGCAGCTGTCAGACGTGTCGGGGGGATGATGGGACAGACCACTACTGCTATCACGGTGTGTCGTGGTGCTTTTTGTAGACCTACTACCCCAACATCTGAATGACACACTGCTACCAGCCTGGCCAAATCCCCACACCTGGCACGCTGGAGGGAGTCGAACCCCCCGCCCTCCATTGAGGCACCATACACACTGAAGTGATTCGGTGAAGCCTTAAAATCAATCGACCTTACATGGCGCTGATCTCATTGGGCCATCATCATCACCATCATCATCATCAGCATGACTGTCCATGGGCAGGTCAGCATAAACAGCACATCCCCGAGGGCAGTGACAGCGGAAGCCCCGCCCGCCTGCCCGCCGTGCTCCAGCCGCTCTCTGCAGACGCCCCTCATCCTTCCTGTCTGCAACCCACCCTTCCCTTCCCTTTTGCTGAACTCACAGGCTGCTCTTGGCATGTAGGTCCTATGAACTTCGCGATGAAATAATGGGAGAAAGTCCACAGACTGTCATTGGTTTAACCATGTGATATTCTGCTGGCTCGTGAAGATCTAGTCGGCCAGATCTCTGGCCAGCAGCGGATTACTTAAATGAAATTACGGCATTTTAGACTGGAGGTCAACGTAAATGAATTCAGATATGAAATGCATTCATTTTATAATAAACATTATCATGAAGAGTGTTCACTGGCACAGTCTGGCCTGTCTGGGCCGTTCTCGCTCATGCCTGCTAACCGAAAGGCCCTGAATTTGACCTCCACCTTTCCCCTAGTGGGAGGTGAGCTGGAACCTGAGGTTTTGGAAAGAGAGACCTGGTATGAAACCAAACGTAGGTGGAGCTAGGACAGTCTATTGTGTGGCTCTTCTCCTTCACCAATCGATGGGATCCTCTACATACCTGCCGTGTAACAAATAAACCCGCAAAGCATTCGTGTTGTCACCATGGAAACCTCAAGGTGCTTTTTCGAGAAGCTCATAACATGTTGGCGGGTGTGATGTCAGATTGGTTATTTCAGAGTATTTTTTATCATTATTATTATTTCTATTAGGCAGTGAGTGACAGCATTTGGTAAGCTCTGTCTGTTGTGGGTTTCAAACCTTCATTTCTGTACCACAGGTTATGGTTCAAGACTCGGTTCCAGGTTCCGAAGACTGGGTACCAGCATGTAATGTTGACAAAGGTGCTGCTGAATTAAAGGTCCTGATTGTGTTAAGAAATTGAGTACCAGTCTATAAGCCATGTATGTCATTTGACTTGTTGTTT